ATATTAGCTCAGACAGTAGTTTCAGGGGTGATCTAGCCTCTAGAAAGTGTAGTTGGTGGTGATGGTGTTTATGTGCCGTGGAGTCGGTTCTGACTCATAGCAACCCTGCATAGGGGTTTCTGATGCTGTAATTCTTTATGGGAGCGGAAAGCCTCATCTTTCTCCACAGAACAGCTGGCCGATCCTGGGCCAGCCTCACTACTGTTGCTACGCTTGAGTCCATCGATGCTGCCACCTGCCCAATCCATCTCGCTGGGTGTCTTCTTCTTTTTCTCTGACCCTCCACTTTACCAAACATGATATCCTTCTCCAGTGACTGCTCCCTCCTGACAGGATGTCCAAAGTATGAGAGATGAAGTTTGGCCATCTTGGCCTCTAAGGAGCACTCTGGCTGCACTTCTTCCAAAACGGATCTATTGGTTCTTTTGGCAGCCCATGGCGCTTTTAGTATTCTCCTCCAACACCACAACTCAAAGGCATCAATTCTTCTACAGTCTTCCTTATTCACTGTCCAGCTTTCGCATGCATATGAGGTTATTGAAAATACCATGGCTTGGGTCAGGTGCACCTTAGTCCTCAAGCTGACATCTCTGCTCTTCAATACTTTAAAAAGAGCTTGTGCAGCAGATTTGTCCAATGCAATACGTTGTTTGATCTCTTAACTGCTGCTTCGCTTCTGTGAGTGTTGATAGTTGATCCAAGAAGAATGAAGTCCTTGACAACTTCAATCTTTTCTCCATTGATAAGAATGTTGCTTAAACTGTAAGATTAGCAGCCTGATTTATAAGAGCTCCTTAGAAAGTGTAGAGTCAGTGAGAATTTGAGATTCTGTTCTGCATTTCTCCTCTTTTAATCAGGATTCTTCTATAGAATCTTTGATCAACATGTTCAGTAATGGTAGCGGGCCAGCGTCCTGTTCTGGTCTCACGACAAAGAAAGCTGCTGTTCATGGAGACTATCAACCACACATTCCATCTCCTCCTACTTCTGACTTCTTCTTCCTCTGTTGCTCCAGGTGAATAGGGACTAATTGTTGTCTTCACTGGCTACTTGCAAGCTTTTAAGACCCCAGACTCAGTGCATGAGGTTGTAATATTTATGGCCACAGATTGTAGGGTCTTTCTACTACAGAGCTGTGGTGTGGATTTGACCACTAACCTTTCAGTTAGCAGCCAAGCACTTAACCATTGCTTCATCTGGGTTCCTTAGAAGAGATATGTTGTTGTCTGGGCCGTCCAGTTGGTTCTGACGCATAGCAACCAACTCTGTGTAAGGTTTCCAAGGAGCCGTTGGTGGGCTTGAACTTCCAGCTTTTTGGTTAGCAGTCCAGTGCCTATCCTACAGCTCCACACCAGTACTCCTAGAAGAGACATGTTGTTATTGTTGTTTGGTGTCATCGAGTCGGTTCCAACTCATAGTGACTCCATGCACGACAGAATGAAACACTGCCCACCTCTGCACCACCTTATTGTTGTGCTTGATTGAGCCCATTGCTGCTACTCAGGATTCCACCTAAGGTCCTGTGCACTGCAAAGGTTCCCCAAGAAGCCGATTTCACTGGGTAAGTTCTAGACCCCCTTTACGTATTCCAGTCAGTTAATAGGTTGAAGACGATCTTACAAGCTTTCTGTAATCATGTTTCCCGATACTCCTCTCTATCCCACTGAAGTGTCTA